CGATGCTTAGGGTGGCAGAAACAGTAGAGCCGGTCCTGAGTGCAGGGGTGAGGGCTGTGGGTTGTGGCTGCAGATGACGGGTTTGGGGTGTGGGAGGGGCTCAGGGTGAGAGTAGGAGTGTGGGGGTGAGGGCTCTGGCTGGTGATGGGAGCTTTGGGTTACGGGAGGGATTCAGGGGTGGGGCAGAGGGTTGGGGTGTGGGGGGTGAGGGCTCTGGCTGGGACTGGGGATGAGGTGTTTGGGGTCCTGGAGGGGCTCAGGGCTCGGCAGAGGGTTGAGGGTGTGGTGGGGGGGGGTGAGAGCTCTGACTGGCGGTGTGGACCTTGGGGTGGAAGCACGACACATAGCAATTCTTCTGGGTTCTCCTTTTGACAGTAGTTTTTATCACACATTATTTTGAGACCCTGGAGAACTTCACATGTGCACAATGGCCCAGATTCTCAATTCAGGTATGCTGGTGTAAATACAGAGTAATTCCCCTTACTCCAGTGGTGTGTCTGTTATCAGAACCCAGCTCAGTATCTCAGTGATAAAAACACAGTGGTTCAGACGCACCCCTGGTATAACCACAGGGAAAAGAGAGGAGGTACACCAGGGAACAAATTGGACCATGCTATAGAAAACTCACTGCAACTTACTAGCAATATTGCAGAGGACATGATGCAATCAGCGTTGGCGTTAATTAATACCCAAATGCCCTAATTACAAACCCTCCATCACCAGTGGGATATATTAGGGAAGACACAATTTAGAGTCATTGAGGGATTCTTGTGTTGTGTTTATACATTGGTTATTTAAATCCCAAATTCCCCAGTTGCAAACAGGCTAGGACAAGGGGCTCAGAACAGGCAGCTGGGCTTTTCACTGATATGCATCCAGGTGCTTTTGCTAGTATCTAAACGCTGGTAAAACATGATGACAATTTTGTAGTTTTGGCCCATTTCCTAGTGGAGACATGTCAAAACCATAACTCCAGCTCCAGGCCTAGGACCTGTGTGATGCCAAGAGGTGGAGCGTTGATGACTTCTGGTGGAGTTTGACCTGTTCCTCATCATTAGTTTGTTTATCACTCTATAGCCTTAGATGCGGTAGCAGTGACTATCTGAGGAGTAGTTATAGAAATGTAAGTGTATAGAGTGCCTAACCAGCTAATTAGCACCCCCCCCCCCAAAGGTACTACTTAAACACTCAAGCATATTCATTAATAACCAGGCCATTTTCTTTCAGAAGACACTCTGAAATTCATGATTCTTTTTGGCTGAGATTTTCAAAGAAAACAAGTGGAATTAGGTGCCCAATTGCTATCATAAATCACTCAGAATTGGGCTTCTAACTCCCACAAATCCCTTTAAATTCCAAGGTGGTTTGATGGGTAAAGATCATGTTATGTTTATTCACAGAGTACCTCTGAATAACAAGAACAATTTAAGGTCTTCTAGAGTTACTTTTTCCCTGGTAGCATTATTTATTATTTTATAGCACACACAGGTATGCTATAATCTTAACAGAAATTACTGTTTCATAGCAAATGAGTTTACAATCCCAATGTATGGTTTCAGAGTAGCAGCCGTGTTAGTCTGTATCTGCAAAAAGAAGAGGAGTACTTGTGGCACCTTAGAGACTAACACATTTATTTGAGCATAAACTTTCGTGGGCTACAGCCCACTTCATTGGATCCGATGAAGTGGGCTGTAGCCCATGAAAGTTTATGCTCAAATACATTTGTTAGTTTCTAAGGTGCCACAAGTAATTCCAGTGTATGACACTTCAAGATACCTCAGCAATTATACAACATACATAATTGATAAAATGCTTGGCATTTCTTACCTAGATGAGGTTTACATGGGCTTGAATCTATTTACCTCAGCTGAATTACTTTTGTTTTACATTGGTTTAAGTTAGAGGGGAATCTGGACTGTTGACTTGAGTGAATTTTTCATAGAATCAAATATTTTAAGGTCAGTAGAGGCCTTTAGGATAATCCCATCTGTAGAATCTCAGCTGGTGTTTCCTGAATGAAACCCAGAAAGTTCAACTGAACATGAGGATACTTCTCAGAGAGATATTCCATCTCTCTGGAAGGTGTTCTCAGACATAATTCACAGATTCCAGGGCCAGAATGGACCATTGCAATCATCTGGTCATATCTTTTGTAGAGAACAGGCCATAGAAATTCCCCCAAAATAATTCCTTTTGAACTAGAGCAGAACTTAAAAAAAACCCAGTTTGAGTCAACGGTTTTCCTGTCTCTGTTATTTTCCCTTTGGAATCAGTTTTTTTCTATGACTTCCCCTTTGAGGTTAGTAATAAGACTGTCCTTGTACTGTTGTTTTTCCTTTCTAAAAATAAATATTCACTTTCTTTATGCAATAGTTTCAAATTCCCACCAGCAGAAACATCAAGGGAGATTACATCATTTCAAATGAAGGAGAAATTACCAAGCAGGAGAGGTGTGAATTTCTGTGAAAGGGAATAACAACAAAATACACCAAGAGGCACAGCATGATCGACACATCCAGGAAGGAACCCGAAGCTTGGTTTACTGAGATAATTGAAGAGTATGAATAGTAGAAGAGAATGGAAAGTGCAGTGCAAAGACTATAGTCTTCTCTCAGAAAAGGAGATAGAAGGGTTAGGGTTAGGGTACGGCTGGCAATAGATCATCAATGTGAAAGGGAAAGTAGTACAGTTAAAATGAAATAATCTGATTTATAAATGAAAAATTCCTGTTCAGGCATCCACTATGTCAGGAAGAATAGGATTGCTTGTTCAATCCAATGGGAAAGTCAATGAATGTAGATGGTGTGACACTACACCCCATATTCTTCATAGAGATATTATTATGAAATGATTATAGCATCATTATGATGCATTTTGTGCAAGACGGGTCATTGAAGGTGTCATTGGAAAAGCTATGATTTGCTGAATATGATTATCCTATTTGTATGTGTAACCCTTCTGCCAGGCCGAGTTGATAGCAGCAAGGGCCGGGTTCAGTACATAGGGGTCCCCTCCCAACAGCGTAACAAAAAAACAGCTTGAGCCCCCACCCAGTGACCTGGGAAAATCTTACATACACCTCTGGGCGCCTCGAAGAGGCAATACTTTCCCTCTCGCAAGCACAGAGTCTCGGTGTAGCAGAAAATGTTTAATAACATGAGGTAAACGACATAGCATTAAATTGGGAAAACACAACTAGAGTTCATAGACCAAACCATGAGCGAAGACCCACCCCAGCAAATTGGGC